GCAGTCGTTTTTGGATGGGTAGCTACTGGAGGCCAATCCGCCGCCGCCACCGCCGCCGCCGCCGCCGCCGCTGCCGCCGCCGCCGCCGCCGCAGCCGCTGCCGCTACCGCAGCCGCTGCCGCTACCGCCACCGCCGCCGCCACCGCCGCCACCGCCGCCGCCGCCGCCGCAGCCGCCGCAGCCGCCGCAGCCGCCGCCGCCGCCGCCGCAGCCGCCGCCGCAGCCGCCGCCGCCTCCGCCAAGTGTACTCTGGATTGTTTTTTTGACAGGGATGGTGTGGGGTGTGGGGGGGGGGGGGGGGGGCGCATCGCGTTGGCTGCGCATGTCCCGATTTTGGAGGCAGAGTGTGTTTAGTATTGTTTTTTGTATAAGGGATTGTGGGGGGGTGTCGTCATGGACTCGGGTTGGCCCCCAGTCGCCTGGGGGAGGGGGTGTTTATTAGTAGGGAACAGTGATAAACCCCTCCCCGAAAGAGAAGAAGGAGGGGTGGAAGAGGAAACGCCCTGAACCACCGACGCCTAGAGGGCTGGTGGGATTTACCCCGCCGCCATCACCAACGCCAACTCCGACCGCAAAGCTAGTTCAAGCACCAGCAGTGTCGACGACATCCTGATAGAGCCTTGGCAGGACTGGATCACGCGTGCCACTCGCGAAGCGACACGACGGATGCAGCAATACAAGTTCGACGATGGGGCCATGGTTTACAGACGGAAAGCATGGGCATGGGCACAGAGTGTGGCCAACATGGAGGCGTCAGAATGGCAGACACAGGTTTGGAATCCACACCTTGACCTGCTCTCGTCAACCCGCCGATGTCTGGGACGTCCAAAGACTCTTCGGGTAGACGATTTCAAACAACACATGTGCAGACAGCTACTGGCAACGGCAATTGGGTACAAATGGCAAAGTCCCTGGCTTGGTATACATTGAAGGGCTCGTACATCAACACGTGAGTGGAGCTGCCCCCCCCCCCCCCGGCAGCTCCCTCGCGGAAACATGCGCCGGTGTCCATTAGTCAGTGTGGTTCCAAGATGGCCTCGGAGCTCCAAAAGGTCACCAAGAGTGCCCAAATGTCGCCCAAGGATACGTCAGGACTGCTTCGAAAACCAAGCCTCAGTGCGACCTCAAACATGAACGCACGGGCTTCCAAGCCAAAGGCCCGATCATCCAGACACGGCCCCTCTGCCTCGCTGCGCGTTTCGCCCCATGGCAAGTCGAATTTGAGTGCGCTCGAAGCGTGCGCGATGGTTCTAGTAAGTTTGTACGGTGTATGAATATGTTGTGTGTATATATATATATATATATGTATATATATATATATGTATATATATATATATATATACATCTATATATATATATATATATATCCCTGGGGTGCAGGCCCGAGGCCCACAAACAGCTGCCCCACCCCCCATGGGAGGACGGGGCGGCCGGGGAGGTCCAAAATAGTCCAGGAGGGCCTCCAGAGGCTCCCCAGACGGCCCAAGCGGGCCCCGAGTCGCCGAAAGACCGCTCCTGGACGCCCAAGATAGGCCCAAGACGGCCCGAGAAACCCCCCCAAGGCACTCCACGACGCTTCAAGACGCCTCTCCCGAGCGCTTCAAGGGACCAAAATCGTCAATTTTACGGCGGTTTTGGAGAAGATTTTGGCCTTCCAGCCTTTTCGGCTGTCCGACGTTCCAGGCCGGCTCCATAGGCCCCCAAGAGCCAAGAGGGTCCCCAGACGGCCCCAGAGGCGCCCCAGTGAGCCCCAAGACGGCCCCAAGGTGCGCCCAAGAGGGGGACCACGACTCCAAAATTCGCAGGCAGTTGCATGACCAGCATGCAGGCAGTTGCATGACCAGCATGCAAACCAGAAAGGACGCGACCCCAGCCGGTGCAGTCAGGAGTTGCTACTTGGCTACCTATGGCGTCTATCAGCATCCACGACCTGCAAGCTCCCCAACTAGCCGGATACGACCCTAGGACTGGCCAGAGGCGACAGCGCTCTGTCAACAACAAGATTGGCGCCTCCCCTCCCTGGCCAGGGGCACCGGCAACGTGGGCCCTCACGACGGCGCCTCCGCTCCAAGCGGAACTGCACCGTGCGCCGGCGCGCCAGTGACCGCGCCAGTGCCGCCCTCTGGCCCAATCAGCCCCCGCCCGCGCAGCCCTGCCCGAGCTCGCAGCCCCCTGCCGCCCACCCCACAAGAGGCAGGCGCTACCGCGCACAGACCACCAGGATGCACCAGGGAGTGAGCCCCCAGGCGAGCCGCAGTGGACGCGTCTTCGACGCCTCCCCGGCCCCCCCCACTCCGCCGCGTAGCCAGGCGACTTGGGCCCGCCCCCCGACGCGCGCACACCTGCGCGCCCAGCGCACCAGGAGGAGGGGGGGGGGGGCGGCCCCGCCCTGTCTACTACGCGCCCCCCCCCTCCCCCCCGCACAGGCGTTGAGCGCCGGGGCGGCAGCCCAGTTGGGGGACAGGCGTTACAAGCAGAACAATCCGATGGCGGCGCGCGA